CTGTGCCAGCTCAGCAGCTTTGGGTGAGGTGTCAGTAGCATCACTTCTTTGTTCCTTTATCAGGCACTTTATCATCTGCCCCATTTTCACCTGGCTCTCAGGATGTTTAACTTTGGGATCCATGGATCAGGCTGGTTTTGGCATTATTCACCCCAAAAGCAGCATGAACACCTTCTCTGCTCACTGACAGCTTTCCAAGCAGGGCATTGTTTGAGTTGTTCCCCTCCCATTCCAGGCAGAGCATCCTGAGCAGGGGCTGCACCCCCAGCCCACACCGGTCCCTGAGGCAGCCCCCCTGCCCTGGGGACACCACAGCAGTCACAGCACAGAGGGGACAAGATCTGCTGAATGTCCCCTGCAGTGTCTGAGCACGAGTCTCAGGCTGCTCTGATTCTCTGTGCAGTTTGTTTATTTAACAAATTGTGCTGCCAAGTGTTCTCAGCAGAGCTGTCTGGGACCCCGGTGGAGCCTGGCCTGGCAGTGCAGCACAGATTTTCCATCTGCCCAGAAGGAGCTTCCCTTCCCAGCAGTTTTTCCCCACAGTGCTGAACCAGGTCAGGCTCTCACTGCCCTCCCCATGCTGCAGAGCTGGGCACAAAACCACCCTGAACTGTGAATTCCCTGCTCCTGCCTGGAGCTGCCTGCAGCATTGCTGTGTGTCCCAGCATCCTCTCGTCCCTGGCCCATGTCACACCCATCCCAAAGCACAGGTGCCATGGGGTAGGAGCAGGGTCAGCAGAGGAGCTGTTCCTTTCCACACCATCTGAGGAAACTGTGCCTTCCCAGGCCCATCCCACTGGCACAGCAGCAAAGCCCAGGGAAGCTTTCACCTGGTTTCACATGCAATGCCTTGAGCCTTTTGGCCCACACCCAGGCAGAGGGGCCCAGCACGAGATCTGAGTTCTTACAAATTCATAGAAGCAGGTGAAAAGTGAGAATTTCTGTCTGACCAATTTCCTGAGCAGCCCTTGGAGCAGTGTCTGGGTCTGTCCCAGCTGTGCTCACCCCAGTGCCAGAGGTGAGCCAGCTTTTCTAGGGCAGCCCTTTTCCCAGGGAAATGCAAAGCTGAAGATTGCATGGGTTTGGGAAGGGCTTTTCCCCTGGAGGTTGTTCAGTGCCAGGGAGCTGGGGCCGGGCTCTGGCTCTGCAGGAGCTCTGTGGGACCATCAGCTCAGCATGAAAACAGCCCTGTGCTTCCTCAGCCAAATGTTCCCAGTCCTCCCAGGAGCATCTAAACTGGCCCAGCTCACAAAGCCAACTGTGTACAGACTTCATTTTTATGTTAGATCCGTTCCCACCAAGTGCCAAAAGCAAGCACAGGGGAAAGCTTAAAAATAAACCATGACAGCTCTGAGAAGGATGAATCTGGGCAGAGCAAGGAATGACAATTCCAGCATTCTCCTGATCAGCTGATGTTCTGCACTGAGCAGAAAGGATTTGCTGGCTGCAGGGCAGGGTTTGGAGCAGGCACACGCCTGTCCCACACCCATGAGGGATCCTGCTGGGGCCAGAGCAGGAACCCACAACCAAAGATGAGTCTGGTCAATACCAGCCCTGGCAGCATCCCAGAGCATCCTGTTCCAGCCTCAGCTGCTGCCCCTGCTGTTCCTGCCTCACCTGAAGCAATTGTTGGGGGGTTGTAATTATTTTCCAAGCTTAAAACAAAATCCCAATCCTTTCCCAAGACAGAAGCATTCTTGCCCGGCCATCCCTAAGACGAAGTTGTGTTTTGTAGTGCACATCAGCCTGAAGAAGTGCCAAGGTACAAATTTGCATTTGCAGAGCTGTTGCCTCATGACTTGGTCCTTAAATTCAAGCCTGGAGTGATTGAAGTGAGTTTCCACTCCTAGGACAAAATTTTCTTCCCTTTAATGCTCCAGGATAAAGTGTGAAAGTTGTTCCCCAGTTGGATCAGCGTTACCTATTCCCTGCTTGTGAGGGCAGCAACTACAGCAGAGAGGGGCAGCATCAATCAGAAAGGATCCAGGCAGCCCCTGAGCCTTTCCTGCAGGACTGGGAGGGAGAGGGAGAAAGGGAAAAGCTCCCTAAGCATCAAGAGCTTTCCAGCCACATGTGCATAAAAATCCCTTCCCGTGCCACGTGACCGAGGAAGAGGCACGGATCCATTACACAATAATAAAAATATGCCTTTGGCAACGTGGAGCCAAAGTGGAGCTGCTGCAGGGAGCTCAAACTACGCACGAGAAGGAGTAAAGCAGGAATAAAAAGGACCAAAGTCAATCCTGCACAGCCCTCCCAGGACCTGCTGTGGCAGGACGGGGCTGTGGATCTGCAACAAAACATCTGCCTGAAGCCCTGGGGGCTGCCAGCGCCCGTCAGGATCTCACTGAGAAGATCAGGCTGGTGAGTAGATCCACTTTTCCTTCCTCTGCCTCTCCCTCCTCTTAACCTTAACTTTGAAAACTTCCCAAATAAGGTCTAAGTCACAGAGCCCTCAGGTTTCCAAAGCCTGCACAGGAATCCATAAAGGCAACAGTTGCCAGTTAAAGAAATAACACCATGAAGGAAACATTCCTCAGCTTTTGCTGGGAGCTCCCACCTCCTTCAGCCTGTCCTGCGCTGGGCAGCTGCCAAGAGGGTTTGAGCTCGGGGTTAGGAAGGGTTTGGCGCTGGAATTCCTGGTGTTTGTGCTCCAGGCTAGGGAACGTTTGGCACAGGAATTCCCGGTGCCAGCAGCCAAGGACAGAAGGTGCATCCTCTGCTTTCCCTCCTTTGCTTTGTGCAGCAGCAGGGAACACATCAAACCCCTGTGGGTGTAAGTGCTTCCCTGGCTCCTATCAGTTAAATCTACCCATTTCCGGTGTTCTGTCACTGCTGTCACACCTGATTTCACCTAAATCAGCCTCACACCCAAGGACTCCTTTTGCTTCCACCCCAGGGATGCTGCAGGGCAACCTCCAGAGCTGAGAGTTAGGCTCATGGGGATAATGATTATCTTGAAGATTAATTAAGACACCATGAGGTACACTAGGAAATTGTGAAGCAGAAAGATGGATGTTTTATTTGAGAAAGCCTCAAATGCTGAAAGGAAATAGAGAAGAAAGTCACAGTGTTCACTCACTGCTGGGTCCCCTCATCCTGCTCGTGCCTCCCTTCAAGCAGCAATTCCCTCAGTTTCCTATTCCCACCATCACATGGCACAGGGTGGCTTCACTGGCCAAAAAATCATCGTCACTGCACGTGCCACCAAACCCTGCATCTGGCAACCCTCAGGGATTTTCCTCTGGGATTTCAGCCCAGCTGCCCTGGAAGCAGCAGAAAGTACAGCTGATCCTGACTCTTCCAGGCAGGATCTTTTCTCACAGAAACAGTTCTTTAATGCACAACAGGCATTGGTCACGGCCCAAAGGTCTCTAACCCTGGTGACAAAGCCGTTGGTTAAAATGTCATTGGAAAATCAGCCCTGCTGCTGCACAGCCTCCTGTGCTGGGCTGCCTGCCCACACCACGGAGAGGGGAGATGCTGATCTGCTTCCAATTTGCTTTTTGGAGCTCATCGGACCTTCTACATCGAGGAACAATTTTCCTTTTAAGGTGGAACAGCATGAGGTTTGTTCTCTTTCAAAAAGATTTCTTGAAGAGGTTATTTATAGATGCTCTTGTGGATGTGGCGGTGCTTTGCATCCCACACACATTGCTGGGATATGGGATGAAGTGTTCTTGTGGAGCTGTTAATTAGCACCAGCTCTGGAGCTGTGCCAGCTCCCCACTTCTCCAAGTACTGGTCCCACAGACCTCCCAGCCTCAGGGGCTTTGTTTGCCACTTTTTATCCCATCGGGTCAATGAGCTGGGTTGTCTCAAGATATCAGAAGTGATTATGGTAAGAAACTGTCACAGGAGGAGCTGCTCTCCCACCCTCTGCTCCTTCTCACACCTTTCTTCTCTACATGAGGCATTCCCAGCTTTTCTCCAGGTTATGCTCCACAATGACATTTTTCCCTGCCACAGCTTGTGAGTCACATCTACCTCCAGACAGCTCTCACTGCTCTGCCCTGTTGGAGGGGTCCTGGGAAGCAGGGATGCAGCTTGTCTTGTGATCTCCCACTCCACAGGCATTTGTTTCTCTTCCCATGAACTCAGAAGCCTTCATTCAACCTTCCACATGAACACTGGGTGGTGTTTTCCATCTCAGAAGTCCATTAAACCAACCAGCAGCAAATCAGAGCTGAAGAACCAAAGGGCTTAAGCAGGCAAATCCAGCCCTGGATCTGGTTTGCATTTCCCTCTCCTCTGCATGTTCTCAATTATAATATCACAGAACTGGGGGCTCTCACTGAGCATAAATATGTAGCATCAGCTGGCTGGATTTGGAGCATCTAAATATGCATTTCCACCCCTCAGGAGCTGAGAGCAGGATAAGAGCTGAGGCCAACATGGAATTTAGCCAGTGCTTTAAGCATCTTATTTCCAGTGCAGGGCTTGCACATAACAGTACTGGGGAGCTGCTAAAGCTGAGCTGCAGTGCAGAAGGGGATGAGGCTCAGCTCATCTGACAGGCAAAAGGCACCAAGGCCTGGCCCAAAACCTGCCCAGCCTCTCTTCTGAGTCCTGCCCTCATCACATGATGGGCTTTGTGCTTTGAGGAAACCCCAGTGACCCAACCATGGGCAGGTCATGCTGGGGATGTTCACACCAAACCCCGTTCTCCTTCTTCCACTCCCTGCTCCCAAGCAGCTGCTTTCTGCACCCCTCTGCCATTGCTCCTGGTGTTTTGGGGGAAAAGAGGCTCAGGGAGCAAAATGAAATGAGAGATGGCCACAGACACAGAGCTGGAGAAGAGTAAGTTTGATAAAAATATTGGTCTGACCTAGAAAACTCCATGAGCCAAGTTCTTGGAATCGCATCACACCAAAGCAAACGGCTCCCCCACCCTGCCAGGACAAGCCAAATAATCTCCCATTTTCCTGCAAGTTTCTACACCGGCCATGCCAGCGGTGCCCTCAGGCTGCTGATCCCGTCTGCTCCCCACAGGCTGTGCCATGATCTCCGCTGTGCTGCTGCTCTGGACCGTGCCCTGCGTGGCAAACCACATCCTGGGGGGCTTTGCCAAGCGGGAGCTGCGGGAGGGTGCCCAGCTGGCCTGCAGCCTGCCAGGGCCCCCCGGGCCCCCCGGGCCCCCGGGCGTGCCCGGCACTCCCGGCACCGTGGGCAGGATGGGCTTCCCCGGCAAGGACGGCAAGGACGGCCAGGACGGGGACAAGGGCGAGCACGGCGATGAAGGTAAGAGAGAGGCGCTCAGCGTGACAATGGAAGGGTGGAGGCTGCGGGAACGGCCCCTTCACAGCTCCACCTCATGGGAAACTCCAATTCCCACTGTCCGCCTTCTGAATGGTCCCGCTTGTCCGAGGGGCTCCACGCTCTCACCATGTCCTCACAGCTGCAGTCTGTGTTGGATTCATTCGGTGACACAGTGAGGTTGGCCCTGCGCTGCCCAGGGCTCTCTAGAGCAGACAAGGAGCTGCTCTCAGGTTCCTGCTCCCAGGAAAACCAGAGCCACGAGAGAAAAGGCAGGATCGGCTGCCCTGAGCGCTGTAACGGGACAGGCGCTGGCCATGCCGGACCTAGCGCAGAGCAAACAGAGCCGAGGCGGGGCTGTGCCGGAGTCAGAGGCAGCAGGAGCAGCCCTGTGCACAGCAGAGATTTCCCTCTGCCACACTAGAGAGCACTCCTGCCTCAGCAACGCCAGCGAGCCCAGCCTGCGGCTGCCTCCCTCCTCCCTCCCAAGCCGGCAATCTGGAGAGCAGATTTCCAGCCACAGCCGCATTTCGATCTGCTCCTGCTAACAGCAGGTCAAGAGGCACTGCATAAATCCGCACGGTTTTGCTCAGATCAGATACCACCGAGCCAGAATCGCTGCCAGCCAGCCCAACTCCCTCCCCATCTCAAGGCAGCCCCTTCCCCCGGTGTTTGCTCGTTCATCCCCCAGCTGGGCTGGGCTGGGCTTTTTGCAACATCTAGATTTACTTTTACCTTGTTTTTATGCAGTCTCATGCTAAGTGTAAAAAAAAAAAATAAGCTAAGAGAAAGGAAAGACATGAGATCAAAAGTATTCACCTGCTCAAACTGAGGCTCTGAAAGCTTCACAAAGCTGCCCTACTCTATAAAACCCAAACATTTAAAGCTTGTTCTGTAATTCCTCCTTTTCTCAAGTGAGCCAGATAATGGAATCAGCCTTTTGGTCCCTAAAAAGGACAAAATTCCACCGTTACCACACCAGCTCCCTGCCTACCCTGGCTGGTCAGTCCAGACAGATGTCCAGCCCCGGTGGGATTTCATTGGGATTCTCACACAGCAATGGCTTCCTCCTAAATGAAATCCCTGCTGCAATGCTCTAACCCCCTTCCACTCACTGTATCAGCTCTTTCCCTCAAGAGCGATAAGAAATCCTGATAAGATCATTTGTCTTCCAGGTCCCCAGGGCAGAACAGGAAACCCTGGCAAGCCAGGCCCGAAGGGGAAAGCAGGAGCCATTGGCAAGGCAGGGCCCCGCGGGCCCAAGGGTTTAAAGGGCAGTCCCGGGAAAAACGGGGCCCCGGGGAAGAAGGGGCCCAAAGGGAGCCAGGGCGAGGCCGGGCTGCCGGGGCCCTGCAGCTGCGGGGCCAGCAGGGCCAGGTCTGCCTTCTCGGTGGCCGTGTCCACCAGCTACCCCCGGGAGAGGCTGCCCATCAAGTTTGACAGGATCCTGATGAACGAGGGAGGACATTACAATGCTTCCAGTGGGAAGTTCATCTGCAGCATCCCAGGGATTTACTACTTCACCTACGACATCACTTTGGCCAACAAGCACCTGGCCATCGGCCTGGTCCACAACGGCCAGTACCGCATCAAGACTTTCGATGCCAACACCGGGAACCACGACGTGGCCTCTGGATCCACCATCCTGGCGCTGAAGCAGGAGGATGAGGTGTGGCTGCAGATCTTTTACTCAGAGCAAAATGGGCTCTTTTATGATCCCTACTGGACTGACAGCTTATTTACTGGATTCTTGATTTATCCTGACCAAGATTATCTCAATGAAGTGTAGGAGGAGAAACTAGGGGGAAAAAATATGGAAATGGGCCTCAATCCAACAAAGCGGGGCCTTACGTGGGACGTGCCTGGGATTATCAAATGATTCCACATTTGCCTATGGGATTATCAGCTGGTTGCACCCTGGTTGGGCTATCGAGACTTTTCCTTGATGTCATCAAACCCACAGGGTACCAGGATTTCAGCAGCCTCAGGAATGCCTCCATCCCAAAGCCACCCATTATGTATTCCATGATTATTCCAACATGCCATGGACATGTAACTCACATACTGGTGCAGAATGCTTTGGTTATTGCATTGTTATAATAAAGCATGGAAATCAACAGTCATTTCCTAAAGCTGAGCTGGGAAGTGCCACTGATGCTGGAGATTGTGTCACTGGGCTTCCTCCTCCACACCCCAGCACAGCCCTTGTTAATGGAATCAGGCTTTGCCAGCCAAAAAGAGTCAGGAATTTGTCAGCTGGAATTGTAAAAGTCCCAGCCCCATCAAGGCATCTGGTCTGCACAGGAAGTGATTAAAAGGTCTTGTTTTTAAGGCTCAGGGCTCCTCTCAGGGCACAAAGTGGTGCTCTGAGCACCACTGGTGTCCCTCAGAGCAGAGAATCAGAGTCACAGAAGGGTTTGGTTGGGAAGGACCTTGAATCTCATCTGGTTCCATCCCTGTCAGATATTTAGGAATGGAGTCAGCATTAACATGATGTTTGTAAAACCAAGAAAGAGACAAAGACAGAACTTTATTTTATTTATTTTATTGTTGGCTTTCAGTGCACTGGAAGAGACTGGCCTTGCTGCCTTAGGCAATCTTTTTGCTGGTCCTTTTGTAGACTACACCAGAAGAAGTAGAAATCTGGAACAAAGAACAACCCAAAACTTTGGTTGAACAGTGTAATCAGAGCCCCAGAGTCCCAGGGGAACAGCCCTGGGGACGGCTCAGAGCCTGTCCTTCATTTAAGATTTTTTCCTAAATTTCAAATTCTGGGGATTCTCTTTGTTTTTATGAACTACCCTGGATCTTTGAGCACTCACCTCCACCAGCTTCCCCCCACAGATCTCTGAAGTGTGGCGGTAGTTGGGGAAATCAGCTACAAGTTTCCCATCTTCCATTTTGACAGTTGCCTGTGAGAGAGAAAGGGTTCCTGTTGCTGGGATTGCTGGAATTTCTGTTGCCAGATTCTGTAAACACCTGCACACCTGGTGCTGGGAGTTTATGAGACAGAGGTTGTGTGCTGCACAGGGCTGAAATCTGTGGGCTTTAGTTCTTGAATGTTCTCAGGTTAAACAGACACTTGTTCATCTCCCAGTTCCTGCAGGTTCCAGATCTGCACATCACTCATTAACAGCTCTGAAAACGGCTCTGGCAGACAGCCCAGGAATCAGGGATGATGGACTCAGGGAACCCCAGGGTGGTCTGGGCTGGAAAGGGCCTTAGAGCCCCTCATGTCCCACTCCCTGTCATGGGCAGGGACACCTTCACTAGGCCTGACACAGGTTTGCTTTTCACCCTAAATCCAAATCCCCTGAGGCTGGGAAGCTGAGGAGCTCCATGAATTTACCTTGAACCTCTTCCCTCCCATGGTCTCCATGTCTGCCTCCGTGCCCACGGTGAAGGTGTTGGTGGTGGTGCGGCCTCCTGGGAAGTGCTGTGTCCACGTGAAGTCATTCCCATTCTGCACCACCTCTGTCACAATCTTGCAGTTCCTTCCCATTTCAACCTTGTCACTGGGGAGACCTTAAAAAACAAAAACCACCAGGAAAAATGTGCAAAGTACATAAAATATTCCCTTCTCCATAACCTATGTATGCAGTACTTGAAGTTTCATCTGTGTGACCTTGGGCCTTCTGCACATACCTATTTGTATATTTGCTCTTGCTCTTTAACTAGAGGCACATGGAATCTTTGGACAGTTTGTGTTGGGAGGGAGCTTAAAGATCATCCAACCCACCTTCCACTGTCCCAGGCTGCTCCAAGCCCCATCCAGCCTGGCCTTGGACACTGCCAGGGATCCAGGGGCAGCCACAGCTTCTCTGGGCATCCACAGCTTCTCTGGGCATCACCCTCCCAGGGAAGAATTTCTTCCTAATATCCCATCTAAACCTACAATCTGCAAATTTGAATCCCTTCCCCCTTGTCCTGTCACTCCATTCCTTGTGAAGTCTCTCTCCATCCTTCCTGTACCCCCTTCAGGCACTGGGAGGCCACAGCTGGGTCACCCCAAAGTTCTCCTCTCCAGGCTGACCAATCTCAGCTCTCCCAACCTTTCCCCAGTATTTTTCCCAATTCATGCCCCGTGCCTGACCCCAGCCAGACTCACCAATCTCTGCACACTCACCAATCTCTGCACAACCCCAGCCAGACTCAGCAATCTCTGCACAAACCCAGCCAGACTCACCAATCTCTGCACAAACCCAGCCAGACTCACCAATCTCTGCACAACCCCAGCCAGACTCACCAATCTCTGCACAACCCCAGCCAGACTCACCAATCTTCTGCACAAAGGCGTCGTAGTTCTCGTCGCCCTCGAACTCGTATTTGCCTGAGAATGCCATGGCTGCCTTGGGATGAGCCTGGGGAGCAGAACAGCAGCTGGATGGAGCAGGATGGAGCAGCTGGGCTGAGCTCTGGCTTTATAGAGCAGCCCCAGCTCTCAGCCCACCTGGCCCACACCCCTTGGAAGTGGAGCTTTATGGCCCCTGAGTCACAGCAATGCCATCGACCTGTGTGACAATCAAGGTCATCAGGCAATTGTGCATCCTTGCCAATAACCTGGAGATCAGCAGGAGTCAAGGCCAAAGGCTCAGCTTTCCTTTAATGCAGATTGAAACAAAATATGCATTTTTACTTTTAAGATTTCACTGGCTTTGGATTCAGGATGGAATAAAAGTAAAATATAAATGGACCATGCACCAGTTCTCAGCTCTGCAGAGAAAGACCTGGGGAAACTTTTGTCACCACCAGGATTTCCTTTGCACTTTTGGTTTAAAAGTGGCTGCAAAATGATTCTGACTATCCTGAAAACATATTTGATGCTTAGTTTGTTAATTAAAACTCCTTCAGCTTAATCCCAAGATTGCTGAACCCAACGAAAGGAAACTTCCTTTCCCATCTGGACCCCAGTGCTGAGGCCCCAGCTGTAAGAGCAGAGCAGCACTGGCACAGGGAGCAGGGCAGGGGTGGCACAGCCATGGCAGCCTCAGTCCCCACTGCTCTGCTCCAGGGGGACCTGCCCAACCTTGGCAAGGAGGTCCATGAACTCAAGCCATAAACTCTCCTGCTCACATAAAACTTGCAGAGGACAATTCCACTGCCAGAGTAGCACCACAGGGACCTTGGGACAGAGATCAAACTGGATAAGGAAAGCAGCCCAGTCGTGTGTAAAAGGAAGGAGATAATCAGATTATATGAATGGTACTTGAGCTTTTATGCTCCCCATCCATAAAGATCAGATTATATTGATACCATTATTATATTGATACCACATTATATTGTTCCATGATGAGATACAAAAATGCTGACAGCTCCATATAGGCATGGACAGGAGACTCCATAATGCCATGGTTTGATTCTGCTGCTTACAAGGAGCAGCTATGCAGAAAAGCTCATTGCTGTATTTGCATGTACCAGGATAATGTAAATTCCAAGTGTGTGGTATTTGAAGACAGTGAACAGGAGTAAGTTGTCAGAGAAGTAAAACTCTTGTGGAAGCTCATCCCCAAAGGAAAAGGTCAACCAAAGTGAGCAGTGAATTCCCTGTGCCTCCAAGTCAGCTGCCTCTGATATGCAAAACAGCCGAGTCTTCAAATGCTGCTGGGAACAGAGGGAGCTTTAAGGAGCCAAATCAAAGCCTTGGATATCTTTACTTTGAGAATTTGCTTGCACAAAATAATAACACAGCGTTTTTGCATTCCCTTTGTCTGCGGAGTCCCCTTGCCCTTGGGTGGCTCCCAGCAGCCTCCCAGGTTTATTAACCTTTCAGAAGAGCTGCAGAAAGCCAGGCAGATTCACTCAGAGACAAAACGAGAATAAGGGAGGTAATTCCAGCAGTAACCGAGCCAGGCAGTGCCGGCCTTTGAAGTGCTTTTAGAGCTGGGCTGCAACTGAACTGGGAGTGCGGATTGAAGATATCAGAGGGAGCTCGGCAGTGCCCACGGAGCTGCAGTTAATGACTCCCTCGAATGCAGCTGCCTGGGGAAACCTGTGGAGCCCCGGCTCCGGCAGCCCTCCTTAGGAAATGCTAATGATTATTAATTCCTCTGGCACTCAGAGTAATCATTGCTAATGAATTCAGGATGAGCTCATTTGGCCTTAATGTGCTGGGTAATTCCAGGGGAGCCCTGTTACACTCGGCCTCGTTAAGTGCCCGTTTAGTCTGGTCCGAGGTGTTGCTGCTCTCCAGCCCTAAAGAGCTGAGAATTCATCACCAGAGTGGGGCAGAAATATTACACAGCTTGGGCAGAGCTCAGAGATGCACAGAAATGCACCTGGCCAGCTCCACAGGTGACACAGCCCAGAGCCTGTCCCTGCTCCAGAGGGGCCTGCCTGACAAAACCAGGAAAAACTGGAGCTCCCAGACATTCAGAGACAGGAACACCTGCAGGGCAGGAAGGCACGGATCTCCCAAAAATCCAGTAGCTGTGGGGACTCCCTAAAAGAAAATTCAGTTATTTTGTGTGACAACAGTCCATCAGGAGAACCTTCAGCGTGTCTGGATCTCCAGGAAAGAAATTTCCAGAAAAATAAGACAACCAAAGGATTCATCCAGGTGGAACTCAGGGGCACTGCTGGGGCCTGGGCTGGGAATTACAGAGACAGAAAACTAAACCTGGGCAAAATGTACCTGGTGCCACAACTTCTCGGGAATTCAATTCCCTCCTTTCTCCAGGATTCTTCCCTTTAATGAGTTATCCTGTAGTGAATATTATCAGTGGTTAAATTCACTGATATCCAGTTAAATGGGATGGGGATGGACAGCAGAAATGGGAAGCTACCTTGATTTTTAACAACTACAACAGAAAACTTGAATTTTGTTAAGCCAGTTTGGATTTGTGTATCCTGAAGAGGCACAGGAAGACTAATTTTGGCTGCTCTCAGTTTGGCTCCCACAAAACTGCTCAGATTCCTTTGAAGTATCATCCTTGGATTAAGAGCCACTGTGGAATATTTTGGACTCCAATGGTTTTAGTCTAATATAGACAATAGTTCAAAGGTTGCTAAAAAGGAAGATATAATTCAGCTTTATCTGCTGAGTCTTCTGGTCAAAAATCAGAGTTAAATCTCCTCTCTCTATGGATTTCTTATATAGAAATACACAAAGTTCTGATGAAGTGAATACCTGGCAGGCCTGAAGAATCAGGAACAGGAATCATTGCAACTCTTCTGGACTTTTCTGAGCAAACCCCAAAGCCACCCACCCCCATTATCTGCACAGCTCATGGGCTGGGTTGTAAAGGAATTATTACTTGATAATATCTGTGTGCTTGTCCTTGCTGACACATCAGATAACACAGCTCCAAATGGAGCTTATCCTCCAGGGAATCTAATTGGGATTTCCTCCCAGGCTGTGGCCTCCCACCCAGAGAAATCCTGCTGTTCCAGAGCATTCCCTCAGCTCTGTCAAAGGGAACATTCCATTCAAACACTGCTCTTTTCTTTCTCTGAGGCCACATCTGGTTTGCAGTTGACCTTTTGGTGCTCCCAAGTCCCCTCCTCTCCGTGTCACCCTCTGAAGCCTTTCCTGCTCTCCTTCCCCTGCAGCTCACCTGGGAGAGGGCTCAGGTGGAGCAGCACCTGCCTGGAGCTGGGGAGAAGCCACCCAGGAACCAGCCAAAGAGGGATTTGATCTCAAATAATCAAAGGCACACAGGAGAAACCAATATTTGAGTGAATTTCTCTTATGCCAGTGCAGTGTTTAGTAAGTGCCCCACTGAAAATGTTGATCCAAGACAAGTGTGCAGGGACAGAGAGAGTCTGAGAAGCAGAGAAGGATTTCTTCCCTTGAAATACAAGAAAAGCCAGTTTTCTTTGCACAGAAAGCCTCTTCTGGGCCTCAGCTCTGCTTTGATGTGTGTGATCCACAGCAACATCTCACTGCATACTTTCAGCTCTTTGAAATTGTTTATATTGCCTTGGATACATTTATCAGGAGAAGAAAATATACTTCTGTGGCAGAGAAAATACACACATCTCACGTGCTAGTCCTTCCCCACCTCCACACCAAGCAGATCTTTGCATCTCCTTGTTCCAGGAGCTGCTTTTATTACATCTGGTGTCCCTCTTCTACAGTTTGATTTATTCCTGAGTTGCTCAGCACTAAGCTGGCTCTTATTAATCAAACAACATTGATGGAAAAGTAGGAAAATGAGACTGGGTTGGTAACAGCTGTGATTTTCTCAAACCCTGGAATAAGCCACATTTCTCTTAAAGATTCCTTCCAGAATCAGAAGAAAAAATCTGGAAAACACTTCAAAATCTGCACTTCTATTTAAGAGTTCCTTTACTCCAGAGTACCAAACAACAGCTGTTTCCCTCCTAAACAATGGGAAAGCATCAGGGGCCAGACAGCCCCTAAAAAGTGCCAGATTGGTTCAGTTCATCAGAGCAGGGTGCTGAGAACACCAGGTTTGTGGGTTCAGTCCCTGTATGGGCTTAAGAGTTGGACTTGATGATCCTTGTGGGTCCCTTCCTCAGAGCATTCTGTGATCTGGAAATTGGTTTATTTTTTAAAACTTGATTTTTAACCTAAATCTGCCTGTTCCAGTGGCTCAGACTGGTAACATGCACAGGTCACTCTCAGGGTGCCCAAAAGCTCAGTGACTGGGGAGGGGCCACCCTCCCAAAATTCTGCTTCCTCAGGCACAAAATGCTCTTGCAAAACCTGCTTTCTAAAAGAATTGAAACCCAGGAGTGAAGCAGGATCCTGGCTGTCCCTGTAGCTCCCCTGGTGGTTCCAGGAGCAGCAGGATTTGTCTGGCAGCCAGGTGAGCTCACCTGTGCTGGCCCACAGCACCATCCAGTGCCAGCTCCCGCTGCTGAACGCTGCCCTGGGAATTCCAGGGCCAAGCTGCAGCTCTGCCCTGAAAGGCAGGAGAGGTAAAGAAACCAAAATTTCAGCTCTCCGTGTGTCAGAACTGGGGTTTTGTCACATTTACAAAATTCAGGGTCTCAGGATCACAGGATCACAGGATCACAGACTGGTTTGGGTTGGAAGGACCCTGAAGATCCTCCATTTCCAGCCCCCTGATACAAAGTTTTGGGGCACGATATGGATTTTGAAGAACGAAGGGGAATCTGTTGGGTTTTAATCTGCATTTCTACAGAGCTTTGCTACCTGTGATCTGTACTCAGGGCCTGTTTATATCTGTTTTTTTAGGATTTTTATCTGCACTTTTGCCACCCAGCATTGTTTGCAAGCCAGAGCATTTGAACCTCCTGAGCACCAACCTTTGGCTGCCTCCCCCTCCTCTCCCAAAATAAAACCCTGCAGGTTATTGGTCCTCCCTGCTGGCACAAGGCTGAGCCAGGGCCTAACCCAGGGTCTGTTTTCCCTCCC